GTATGGTTACACGTGTATAAGACGAGTACTGGTCAGGTGCTAACGATGAGATGACAAAAAGCTATCACGCGATTCATAGCGTCAAAGCCATGCATTAGTGTCTGTGTGTTGTCTGCGCACTAACGAGTGATGAAAAAAGTATCCACAGGTCACATCATAGTCATCATAGTGTCTGGCGGTGTGTTGTCGTGCACGTAACGATGTATGAATAAAAAGGTAGTACATCAGCATGCATGTTGCAGTAGCTCTGTTGTGCTGTCTGCGCAGAGCTTAAATGAGAGATAGAAAAAAAAGAGCAGTTCATCATAGCATCATAAGTGTCTGGAGTAGTGCCTGTCGGTTGACACTAACGATGTGAATGAAAAAAGACAGTATCATTAAGCCATCATAGTCGTCTGTTGGGCTGCTGTCTGCACTAACGCAGTGATGAAAAAAAAGTAATCGGCATAGCGATCAATAGTGTCTGTGTGCTGATCGTGGCACTACACGCAGTGATGAAAAAAAAAGTATCATAGCATCATGAGTGTCTGTGATGCTGTCTGGCCCACTAACGCGGTGATGAAAAACCAGTATCATAGAATTCATAGTGGGTCTGTGTGCTGCTTCTGCCACTACACGAGTGATGAAAAGAAAAGCTATCATCGTATCATAGTGCTCTGGTGTGGACTGTCTGGCCAACTAATGAGATGGAAAGAAGAGGTAATGAATAGCATGCATGAAGTGTGTACTGTGTGCAGCGGAAGAGAGGAGACAGAGAGAGAGAGAGAAAGAGAGAGAGAAGAAGAGAGACGAGAGAGAGAAGAGAGAGTGGTACTGAGCGAACTGACAAGGAAAGAGAGGTGAGATCGACAAAATAGTAGTCAGTAGCTGCAGTAGTGTCTGTGTGGCTGTATGCACTAACGATGAAAAAGAAAAGTGCAGATCATGAGCCATTTGCTGGTGGCGGAGACTGTCTCTGCTACGAGCGAGCTACGTGAGTACGCACCATAGGGTTTACCTGTGATGGATGTCTTCCCGTTAGAGGGAGTCGATAGAACGAAGGAGAAGAGAGGGAAGAGAAGAGTGAGAGACGAGGAGATGGAGAGACGGAGGAGGAGAGAGAGATAGAGTAGAGAAGGGGTGATGGGCTGGGCGGCTTTTGAAGAAGAACTATGTTTGCACTGAGACCGACGTATACCGTTTCGTCCACAATTCGCCCTTTCAGACAGCCGCCCTTCAGGATTCATTTATTTATTGCACACACGGGAATATGGAATCATCGCGATAATAAGTATGACGTCGGGGGTTAATAGAATATGGGGTGAATTGTCGTTAGGAGCTCTACGTGAGCGAGAGTCCGAAAGAATTAAATATTGCAGATGTGCTGGTTTATAGAAATGGAGCGTTCAATCAAGTTGAGGGGGGTTAGGGTTAGGGTTATTTGTATTACAGAGGCGAGTTGTGACGAGTGTAAGGCAGTGTAATGGAGTAGAGCGAAAGAGATTTTGGGAGGGAGGAGAGAGATAAGAGAATGGCGTTTAGGACGGATTTATATTACACGTTACGTGGCACGGGGTGGTTTGTTGGTAAAAGGTTGTTGCTACAAATGTGCTTCTGTCTATTGAAGGTAGGAAGGTACCGTCATTTACTGGAGAAACAGAAAGACGTGAAAGGTAGAATGGACAACCGACAGAGGAGATGAGATAGAGTGAAGAAGAGTCGAGTTCACTACTACTGTAATATTATGTAATAACGGATTGATTTAATTTGTACAGATGACTTCAAGGAATAGAAAGTTTATCTTTTACCTGTGGACGTCAGCGTTAAATGCTTATAAAAGATATTTAACGAAACTCATTAAAGAAATCACTTTTAGTGACTAATAGGCTTGAATGATTATAGTAATACAATCGTGTGTATGATAGGAGAGAATCGGTAGTAAACGTCAGTCGTACAATCAGCTGAGATGTTACAATCGAGGTAATGATACACTAAAAACCGAGGTTTAATGACGTCGCAGAATGAATAGATAAAGATGTTCATGATAACTAAATAAGAGTCTATCACCTTTGCTATAATCGTGTTTCCCATACAATGGTCTAACGATCATTACTAGCCTTCACTGTGAGTTACCAGCGTAGAGATCCTGAAAGAATAAAGGGAAGTTTTGTGGATTAAGTCAGTGCTCACACAATAATGACAAACGATATTTACAACCACAAATTACATGAAAGGTTAAGGCGCCCGGAGCCAGGCGCATGGTGCGACTGAATGTGTATGATACAGGAAGAGAGATAGGAAAAGGTAAAGAGAGATAGCGAGATTGGAGCGAGAGGGGGGAGAGAGAGAGACACAGAGAGAGAGAGACAGAGAGAGAGAGAAAGCAAGAGAGGGGGAGAGAAGCTACAACGAACAAGTTAAACAAGTTATTAAAGTCACACTACTTATTACATATATATAAATACTTAACAGGTATAGACAGTCATGAGCAGGTTTCCTGTACTTACCAAGAGCTGTTCTCCTAATATAGGTATGACTAGGCTTCCTTCAGGCTTCGGAGCATTTGGATTCACCATTTTGGCTAATTCTTGATGAAATAAAGCAAAACGAGACATTAGCGCAATAAGTTGCGACTTGTCACAGATTACGACAGAAGACAGTTAATCGCAGATGAAAAGCAAATATCGACCTTGCGTCGATAAAATAATGGTGATATATTTATCAAGCACGCCATGCCTGAACTGCACAAAAACAATAATTTTGGTGACCGTCATAGTACGAGCAAATACAGATTAGACCCAATATATAAATTTACTTTGTTACCGTGTTACAAAACCCGAAAAAAAAATTCTAATCGCATTTGCACAATTTGTGCAAGACAACGAGGTGCATTCAGCTGAAATAAAAACTGAGCTAGTTTTTGCTCCGAGCAGTTTTCAGAGGAAACGAATACACAATAAAAGAACAAACACAGTGACAAAGCTTCAGGTTTGGACTGGAAAGTTCAGTGGCAAATTGTACTTTTCTACACAATAGTCTACACTGCTCTGCAACATGCCCATGTGCTACACATCACCCACACCGGTTCCTGTAATACCTTCAAGTTATCCTAAATATCAGCTTTGATATTATTAATTAAATTAATAAATGTTAAAAAATGACGATAATTATCCATGTCATCAATTATTAGTAATGTAATTAAAGTATGTAAAATGTATAAATGCGATTATTGTAACCTAATTAAAGTAAATTAATCAAATTAGTTATAACTATTAACATAGGACCCCCTTTGCCACTACCCTACACTACTGTGTTCATACAGTAGCATATACGTATAGTAGAGCATACATCGCAAGCTGTCTCGTTCTCTTATTGACGAAACATACCTTCAAGCTCGTCCTACTAAAACAGATCCCTACACTACTTCTACATATTGTACAACTAGTGTTGTCAATCGGTTGTAATTTCGTAATCGATCATCGGTTGGACCCAAGTAACCGATGATCGGTTACAATCGGTTACTCGGGTGCTTGAACGTGTGGTAACGTCGTGCCTGCAATGTACGTGTTGTGCAGTATCTTGCTTGTTTAGCCCTGTTCTTACTGTTTGTTTTGCACTGTTACTACTGTTGTATAATTACATGTATTTAATAATGAGGCATTAACTTGTTATAGTAGCGATGATTTATCGTCTGATTCTCATCACTTTTCCAAGTTTTTTCTTGTTTCAATTGTTTTAAAAAAAAAAAATTTTTTTTCCCCGATGATAATAGCGTTATGGATTGATTTTGATTAACCAAGCGCTTGCGTGCGAAGCCAGTTCAACCGATGATCGAGTATAATGATGCATTCGTGACATCACTAATGTACTAATGCCCCTTTCATTTATCTCCTATGTGATTCACACAGTAGCACACGTGTACACTGCACACTGTATGGCTTTCTCTCTCTGATGACACATACCTTCAAGTTCGTCCTCCTGTATCTGGTAACGAACTCGGAGAGCGGCTTCCGCTTCGGTCGCTTCAGTGTGTTCAACAGCTGCTGGATTCTCTGGACGGACACCTTGCCCGACCGCACACCTGAAACAAACAACAAATACTCGTCAGCTTCCCCATTCTCGGCATCCTTATCCCTATCCTCATCATCCCCATCCTCATCATCCCCATCCTCATCATCCCTATGCTCAGCATCCTTATCCTCAGCATCCCTAGGATCAGCATCCTTATCCTCATCATTCACATGTTCAGCATCCCTATTCTTATCATCCATATCCTCAGCATCTTCCTTGATGCATGGCTAAAATAGGTAGACTCCTTAGCATCCTTATCCTCATCATTTCCCTACTGCTTAGGCATTTCCCATATCTCAGTTCATCCATATTATCTGCTTTCCGTTATGCCTCATTCATTCACTATTGTTCAGCTGCATCCCTATTCTTCTCATCCACATTCCTTCAGTTCATCTCCTGGATTGATGGCTAAATATGGTAGAGCTCTTTAGGCCGAGTCCTTTCGCTCATTCATTCCCTATGCTTAGCATATCCCAATCTCAGCGATCCCTTATCTCAGTTCATCCTTAATCCTTCAGAAACTACCATCTCTCTCAGCATCCCCCTTCCCCACTATCGTCGCACAGCCGCTCATCGCTAGCGTCCCCTCTCGTAGCATCTCTCTCGACCCACGACTGAGCTGCGTTAATTACTTCTCTTGCGCGCCTCCCCTCGCCCTGCCAGTTCAGGTCCCAATCTTCCGCATCCCGTTCCCTCCCCAGCATCTGTGCAGCTGCATCGCTTCTTCACAGAATCTCTCTCATCAGCATCACCACCCGCAGCATCATCACCATCGTCAGCATCATCACCTCATCGAGTCTCTCAGCATCGATTCGTACCATCTTCTAGTCATTCATCAGCATCGTTCAATTCATCACCATGTCAGCATCATCACCATCGTTCTATGGCATCTTGATCACCATCAGTCAGGTATTCATCACTCATCGTCAGCATCATTCACCATCGTTCAGCATCATCACAATCGTCTCAGCATCTTATCGACCATCGTCAGCATCATCACCATCGTCAGCATCATCACCATCGTCAGCATCATCACCATCGTCAGCATCATCACCATCGTCAGCATCATCACCATCGTCAGATCATCTACCATCGGTCAGCATCATCAACCATCGTTAGCCAATTCAGCTTCACTCATCAGTACTGTCGTCCTCAGCATCCATATTTTCCGCCTCATCCATCACCTCTCGTCTCTCGCAGCATTGACTTGTGAGTGCGCGCGTTTCTCCCTCCGTGCATCCGTCGCGCCGCGCGATCTCAGCGATGCTTGTTGGTTTCAACGGACGACGGATCTCGTTTTCGGGTTTAGTCACCCCGTTATTTGTTAGTTTTCTTCGTCTCTTGACACCGTACTGAACGTAAGACACGACGCGTGTTGGTGGGTGGATCTTGTTTTCGGGTTAGTCACCCAGTGTATATTTTGTTAGATTTTTCTCTGTCTAGTCTCTGGACACCGTACTGATACGCTAAGATATGATGCGTGTACGTGTGACGGATTGGATCTCGTTTTCGGTTTAGTCACCCAGTTATTTGTTAGTTTTCCTCTGTCTAGTCTCTGGACACCGTACTGAACGTAAGATAGTCGATGTTTGTCTGGCCCTAACGTAAAGAGCGTAATGTAAGATATTGACGTTTGTTGGCCTAAGTAACAGACGTCAACGGCTAAGATATGACGGCTTGTGTGCCTAACGTAAAGACGTAACGTAAGACTTGACGGCTTGTTGGCCCTAACGTAAAGACGTAACGTAAGATATGACGCTTGTGGCTAACGTTAAAGACGTAACGTAAGATATGACGTTTGTTGGCTAACGTAAGACGTAACGTAAGATATGAACGCTTGTTGGCTAACGTAAATGAACGGAACGTAATACATGACGCTTGTTGGCTAACGTAAAGACGTAACGTAAGATATGACGCTTGGTTGGCTAAGCGTAAAGAGTGTAACGTAAGATATGACGTTTGTTGGCTAACGTAAAGACGTAACGCTAAGATATGACGCTTTGTTGGCTTAACGCTAAAGACGTAACGTAAGATATGACGCTTGTTGGCCTAACCGTAAAGACGTAAGTAAGATATGACGTTTGTTGGTACGTAAAGACGTAACGTAAGACTATGACGCTTTGGGCTTACGTAAGACGTAACGTAAGAGTAGGCACGCTTGTTGGCATAACGTAAGATCGTCAGTAAAGATATGACGCTTGGTGGGCTGACGTAGCTAGCATACTGTAACGTAGATATGACGCTTCGTTGGCTAACGTAAGACGTAACGTAAGATATGACGCTTGTTTGGCTAAACGTTAAAGACGTAACTAAGATATTGATGCTTGTTGGGCTAACGTAAAGACGTAACGTAAGATATGACGCTTGGTTGGCTAACTGTATGAGACGTAACGTAAGATTATGACGTTGTCGCGTGGCTAACTTAAAAAGTAACGTATAGATTAGACGCTTGGGCTACGTAAAGGCCGTACGTTTAAGATATGACGCTTTTGTTCGGCCCTAACGTTAAAGACGTAACGTAAGATATGCACGCTGTGTTGGCCTAACGTAAGACGTCACGTAAGATAATGACGCTTGTTGCGCTAATGCTAAAGATGTAACGTAAGATATGACGCTTGTGTGGCTTAACGCTAAGACGTCACGTAAGATTATGACGCTTGTTGGCTAATGTAAAGACGTAACGTAAGATATGACCGCTTGTTTGGGCTAACGTTAAAGACGTAACGTAAGATATGACGCTTGTTGGCAACGACAAGACGTAACGTAAGATTATGACGCTTTGCTAAGCTAAACGTAACGTAAGATATGACGCTTGTTCGGCCTTAACGTAAAATCGTAACGTAAGATATGACGCTTTGTTGGCTAACGTAAGACGTAACGTAAGCATATGACGCTTGCTTGGCTAACGTAAAGACGTAACCGTAAGATATTGACGCTTGTGGGTAACGTAAAGACGTAACCGATTAAGTCATATGACGGCTGTTGGCTAACGTAAGGACGTAACGTAAGCATTTGACGTTTGTTGGCCTAACGTAAAGCGTAACGTAAGATATGACTGCTTGTTGGCTAACGTAAAGTACGTAACGTAAGAATGACGCTTGTGAGCCTAAGTAAAGAGTAACGTAAAGATTATGAACGTTCTGTGGCTTAACGTAATAGACCGCTAACGTGTAAGATTATGACGCTTGTTGGCGGATAACGTACAGATCGTAACGGTACAAGATATGACGCCTTGTTGGCCTAACGTAAGAACGTAACGTCAAGATATGACGCTTGTTGCGCCTAATCGTAACAGACGTAACTGTAAGATATTGACGCTTGCTTGAGCTAACGTAGAAGACTAACGTAGATATGACGTTTGTTGGCTAACGTAAAGACGTAACGTAAGATATTGACGCTTTTGGCCTAAGTAAAGACGTAACGCTAAGTATATGACGTTTGTTGGCCCCTAACGTAAGACGTAACGTAAGATATGACGCTTGTGGCTAACGTAAAGAAAAAAAAAACGTAACGATAGATATGACGCTTGTTGGCTAAGTAAAGAGTAACGTAAGATATGACGCTTGTTGGTAAACGTTAAAAGACCCGCTAACATAAGATATAACGCTGTTGTTGGCTAAACGTAAAAGACGGGATTGTATAGATATGACGTTTGTTGGCTAACGTAAGACGTAACGTAAGATATGCGCCTTGTTGGCCTTAACGTAAAGACGTAACGTAAGATATTGACGCTTGTTGGCTAACGTAAAGACGCAACGTAAGATATGACGCTTGTTGGCTAACGTTAAGACATAACGTAAGATATGACGCTTGTTGGCTAACGTAAAGGACGTAACGTAAGATATGACGTTTTTGCCCTAAACGTAAAGAGACTGTAACGTAAGATATGACGCTTGTTGGCTAACGTTAAGACGCTAATGTAAGATTTGACGCTTGTGGCCCTAAACGTAAAGACGTAACGTAAAATATGCGTGTGTTGGCTTAACGTAAGAAGCGTAACGTAAGATATGACGCTGTTGGCCTAACTGTAAAGACGTAAACGTAAGATATGCTGTTTGTTGGCACCTACGTAAGACGTTAACGCTAAGATATGACGTCTTTGTTGGCTACGTAAAGACGATACGTAAGATATGACGTTGTTGGCTTAACGTAAAGACGTAACGTTAGATATGACGCTTGTTGGCTACCGTAAAGACGTATGTAAGATATGAGCTTGTTTGGCCACCTAACGTAAAGACGTAACGTAAGATATGACGCTTGTTGGCCTAAGTAAAGACGTTAAACGTAAGAATGACGTTTGTTGGGCCTTAACGTAAAGACGTAACGTAAGATATGGACGCTTGTGGCTAACGGTAAAGGACGTAACGTAAGGATATGACGCTTTGTTTGGCTAACGTAAAGACGTAACGTTAAGATATGACGCCTTGCTTGGCTAACGTAAAGACGTTAAGTAAGATTATTGACCTTGTATGGCTAACGTATAAGACGTAGCGCTAACATACGCACGCGCTTGTTGCCGGCCTAACGCAAAAGGACGTAACGTAAGATAATGACGCTTGTTGGCCCTAACGTAAAGACGTAACGTAAGATATGCGTTTGTTGGCTAACGTAAAGACGTAACGTAAGATTATGACGCTTGTTTCTACCGTAAAGAGTAATGTAAGATATGCACGCGTTGATTGGCTAACCGTAAAGACGTAACGTAAGATATGACGCTTGTTGGCCCTAACGTAAAGACGTAACGTTAAGATATGGTAGTTTGTGGCTTAACGTAAAGACGTAACTGCTAAGCATAGGACGTTTGTTGGCTAAACGTAAAGAGTAACGTAAGACATGACGCTTGTGGTAACGTGAAGAAGTAACGTTAAGATATGACGCTTGTTGGCTTAACGTAAGACGTTAACGGTAAGCATATGACGCTTGTTGGCTAACGTAAAGACGTTAACGTAAGATATGACGCTTGTCTGGCTAAGCTAAATGACGTAATGTAAGATATGACGCTTGTTGGCT